CCAGACCAAAGGGGGTGAGAAGAGACAAGACCAAGCAGATCTTCTAGTAAATGTTGCCTCCCTTTCCAATACCCTGAAGCCAGAAAACCACGGCCACTGGCATGCCGCATTCAAAAAAACCAAAATGCTTTTGCCCTCTGGCTGCTCTCGTTATGGACACGTGACAGAGCTGTAGTTACTCTGTGGTGCGTGGCCATTGCGTTACCTGGGCTAGATTAGTATTGAGCGGATACAGCTGCTGGTTTTACAGATCTCATGAAATATTAAACATAAATGATGCCAATCTTATCCTCGCTGAAAACACACCCCCAAGAGGCTAACGAAGCCCGCGACCGTCGTTATGCCGTCACTGCCCCGGCGCTTTAACTCAAGAAGCGAGGAAGAGAAACGACAGGCACAAAAGCTCTCCTCCAAATGAGCGTAACGTCCTTTGCAAAAATGCAACGCCATGGAAGACCTGAGTTCAGGCCCCTGGACTTGAGGGCCAGCAGGGGCGGCTGCCAAGCCCTGAGGAAGGGAGAGAGTCCGATCATTTTAGGCTGAGCTCTGGCTGAAATTCATGTAACACTCATGGAAATCATCTTCAGGTCTCCTCAGCAAAGGTCCTTGCAATGAGGTGCCTTTAGTGAGGTGAGGAAATGGGGCAGGATCCTCGAGGGTGTCACTGAATAGTAGGGAAAGACACTATTGCAGTTCATCAAAATGACCATCCAGTGTCCTGGGCTGGTGGCGTCTTCCTCTCGCCGCATCCGGTCTGAAAGAGACGGTCAAGAAATACCTTCTCGTGACTTGGGCATATCTACGGTAGCCCTTTAGGATGCTTTGATTCTGCAGCCAGGAGTAATGAAACAGCTGAATGAGACTGCTCTCCTCTGTAAAGTGCTTTGAGATGTACTGATGAAAGGCTCTCGGTAAGAGCCGGGTATTATTGTTATAATAAAGCAGCTTATTCCCATCTTAATATATGCTGCAAACTGCCATATACACAAATGTGTTTCATGTGTGCCTAGAGAATAGAGGATAACCCCAAGGTTGTAACAGATTCCTCATGGTCATTTACTTGAAACTACTTCCAGTCCAGACAAAATAGCGGCTAAATAGTGCTGGGGTAGACAGATATTAAGTTAGATCTAACTAAATTCACTAGGTGCAACCTCTTCTTTCTGTGGTTCACATGGGTATGAATAAAGATACACAGTGTGTGGAAGCTGCCAAGAATACAGACTTGCTGTTTGTTTGTTTGTTTTTGGAGGGGAAGGCCCAGAAAAAGAGTAGAAAGAAATATTTTAAAATGACAGGCTTTTAAGAAACAAATGTTACTTATTTCAGACAGAGAGGCGGAGAGGAGGCCTTCTTTCCTGCATGTGGCTACTAACCAAAACTGCCAAAGCTCTGATGTATTTTAATGCAATGCCCATTGCAGCAGCATCAGGGCACTGGAACAATTCAAAGTCATCATAGCCTCTCAACCAGAGGCAACCAGTTCACGTCACTACAGAGCCAAATCCTGCATCTCTGCAGTGTTCATGCTCCCACTGCCGGGAAACGGATCTGAAGGTTTTCACCCCCATGTCTGCTCTGAAATGTAATTAACAGACTAGCTAAGCCAAAAAAAGGTGAATCCAAGTGATTTTAGAGTATAGATCATGAAGAGCTTTTACCAAAGCCCATTTTCACTTGCAGCAGATTATGGCATGCTCAGAAGGGTCCCTATTTTCAGCTCCAGACAGGGGAGGGAAACTCTATTCTCAACAGCACCGTTGTAACCAGCACAGCAGGGAGCCTCATCTCATCCTCACCTGTCCACATGTGTGAGGTGTCACCTATGCTGCAAGAGGAATTCAATTTGCACACTAGATAAGCGGAGAGTCATTGCTGGCTAAGGAGCACACTAGGTGTAGGAAAGTCTGGTCAGAACCAAAGTTTAGGCTGACATTCATTTTTCAAGCCGGGTGGACTAAACTGCAATCTACACTGCAGAGGTGCTGTGAGAACGCTGACTACAGCAAGAACAGCTGCCGGCTCGTATCTGATTACTGGAGCATTTAACGATGGAGTTTACGGCAGGATGTTCCATTTGGGCACACACAGCACTACGATTATCTGTGGCATCTATTCTTGTAATCGGTACCACCTGCCTCGTGGGCTGTGTTTACTGGTGGCAGACTCTGCGTCTCTGGGGTCGGTGAAAAGGCTGCCACACACCTCTGAGTCCTTGTTTCTACCCTGGAATCCTTGCTGAAGCCCGGACAACGCCTCTGGGCAAGGCCAACACCAGACAAGCATGGTGGAAGTTTTTGTGATTCTAGCGGGCCAATTCCTGGAATCACAGGAGTTACAGATGGAAATGACCTGTTAGATCTTCCAGTCCCTCTCTGCAGACACAGGACTCTTCTAGGGTTCCCTCTAGTTTTAAGCTCACCAAGTGGCAGTACCCTCTACCCCTTCCACTGCACAGATAAGGGCACCACCCGCCCCCTTGCACAGGGCTTTGAGATCTGCGGGGGGAAACAGAGTTGTCGTCTATTCAAGGCCGGAAGGGACTAGAATCATCCAGTCTGATCCCCTGTAGAACATAGGCAGGGGTTTCACTCCGGGACCTGGTGTCGAGCCCAATAGCTGAGCATGCGATACAAGTATTATTCGTATGTTGTTCCGCAGCCCGAGAGAGCTCACTGCTATTAATATTCGTAAACACCCTCCTTCCTCCCGCATCACACCAACAATTCCTACACCTCCTCGGCGAACTATCACACCTCGCCTGGACTTATCCAAGCTGTACATCCGTAGTTGTATTTACTCTACACTCCTCAGCCCAGCCCCTCGCCTGAGTGTCTCCCACCAGTTTGCCAATATTTCCCAGAAACACAATGCCCAGAACGACCTCTCGGCTAGGTGTGATTGCACCAGAGCAGCCACTGGCTCCTTCCTCCGTGCCTTGCTGTCTCTTCACGTGCAGCCCCAAAGTAACCTGGCCCGCTTGGCAGCCACACCACAGCACAAACTCCTGTCTCCCTGGTTGCCTTCCATCACCCCAAGGGTTTGCTCAGCATTTCTGCTTTCCAGCACAAACATTCAAATTACACCCCACTGCATTCCTCTCTCCTCCCCATGTTTAGCTCACTTCATTGGATATGGTTTTAATCTTTCCATGCCCCATTTTTTATTTCTCTGTCCTCAAGGATATTCTCAAATGCTCCCAATTAATATAATTGGTACCTTTCATTAAGCTGCTGTTCACTCTCTTCTAGATCATTCATGAAAATGTTAAACAAGAACACACCTAGCACTGATTTCTATAGCACCAGATTGCTCCCCCCAATTCAATACATGGTCAGTTAGCATTGCTCTTTGTTGGTGGCCTTTTAGCCTGTTTTCACTGCACTGGAGTGTGTTTTGTGACGAGCAGAGCAATGGCTGCATTATAAAACAAACAGAACCACATTTAAATGCCTAATTTGTTTACCCCCCCCACACACACACACCTCCCAAATAATAAACCTTTACATTTTACAGTTATTAAGGGAAATCTGAGTTGCTGTTATTTAGCTCCAATGTGTTAAGCCCTTGAGGGAGGAGTAATGAGAGGAAATCAGGAATGGGAAGTTTTAAGACAAAAATGAGATTTTTTTGGCTGTAGAAGAATCACCCATGGAAATGACAGAAACCCCATTACCTGAATCCTTTAATGCTAGATCAGACAAATAACGAGACTGTGTAAAAGAGGGGACTACAGTGCCATGGGAAGACAGTCTGAAAAGGCCTTTTTAGCATCTAACTTCTCCAATTCCAAACCATGTCTCTGTGGTTATGAATAATTCAACTCTGCCGTCCCAGTGGCTCAAGATGCAATAATTTGGGTGTCAAAATCAAGTGCTGGTTGATGTGCTGCAGGGACCTGCAGAAATTAGAGCCTCTCCTTGTTCTGTATAAGAAACCTCACTAATATTGCCAAACACCAGGCAGTTTGGTTGTGAATACAGAGGACTTCATGGAAGACATTTCAGACCAACTAATTTAGTTTGAGCGGGGGAGACGTGGGAGCTGGATGGGAAGTGTCCCTTTTTCATTTTGAAGGCTGTTGGTATTTCTAAGGCCTGCTGGTCTCACCGACAGGTCTGGAGTATTAGGCTATTTTGCAGCCTCAGCGGAAAATGAGCCCATTTTCTGGCAATGGGACTAGAGGAGCAGAGAAGGTAGAGATGGACAAGACCTGTTAGAGCATCCACTCCCGCCCCCTGCAATTGCAGGACAGGATCCCTCATCAAAAGCCGTACACCACTGAGAGTGTCAGGGACGCCGCCGACCTGCCAGGCTCGGTGACAGGTGCGTGTGATGCGCCCTGCCTGGGCACGCAGACCCTCCGCCCACTTGGTCCCTTGGTCCCTGCCAGCAAACAAAGGCTGGGAACACACACGGCTCCTGGTCTCCCCTCGGAGGCAGATACGGTCCCTGCCGCAGGGGAGGAAGCCAGGGCCCCTCACCTGCCCAACTGCAGCAGGGACAGAGAAGTACAGACCCTTTCCAAACATTTTTTTTAAAAAAATCTCTCTCGAAAGTAGCTGAAACCCCGTTTAGGAAGCGAAATCCAGCCGGTTACTGGATGTTCTACAGCCAGGGGATTGACCTGCACGCAGGGATCCGGCCCCTGATTTACAGGGGAAGGGAAACCGTCCGCCAAAGCCCAGACAAACCCCGGGGCTCCCGGGCAGGGAAGGCAGGCCGGGGCAGGGCTCGGTTTCCAGGCTGGGGGGTTCCCAGGCGGCAGTCGGGCAGGGTCGATGGCTGGGGAGGGCAGAGGGTCCGGGCGAGGGGAAGTCTCCGGGGTAGCCCTGGGGGCCCCCCCGGGTAAGGCGGGCGCCCGGAGGGGCAGGGCTCGGTGCACGCCCCCCAGCACCGCGGAGAGGGGCGCACAGCCCAGCCCCGTGCTGCGGGGGACCCCGCGGGGGGCTCGGTGGGGCGCAGCCCCCCGGCGGGGGCCCCACCGCTCCGGCTCTTACCTGGCGGGGCTGGAGCAGCGCGCAGCCCGCTGTCCCGGCGGCCGGGCTCGGGCTCCGGCTCCGGCTCCGGCTCCGGCTCGGGGCGGGCAGGGCGCATGCCTGGCCGCGCTCCCGGCTCCGAGCCCCCTCCCGCGCCGGGGCGGGGCGGGATTCCCCGGGCGGGTCCCTGCGGGCGGAGCGTGTCCCCCGCCGGGCGCCGCAGAGAGCGGGGAGCTCGGCCAGGGCAGCCGGGCCAGGACCACAGGGGAGCCGGGAGCCCTGGACCGGACTGGAACCGCGGGGTGATGGAACCGCCCCAGCCAGGGGGTGCGCAGCCCCCCAGCGCCCCTCGTCCCAGCCCCTGGGTGTGTCCGGCGGGGGACGGCCGGGGGCAGCGCCCCTCGTCCCAGCCCCTGGGTGTGTCCGGCGGGGGGCGGCCGGGGGGGGCAGCGCCCCTCGTCCCAGCCCCTGGGTGTGTCCGGCGGGGGGCGGCCGGGGGGGGCAGCGCCCCTCGTCCCAGCCCCTGGGTGTGTCCGGCGGGGGGGGGGGGCAGCGCCCCTCAGTCCCAGCCCCTGGGTGTGCCCGGTGGGGGGCGGCCGGGGGGGCAGCGCCCCTCATCCCAGCCCCTATGTGTGCCCGGTGGGGGATGGCTGGGGGGGGGCAGCACCCCTCGTCCCAGCCCCTGGGTGTGTCCGGCGGGGGATGCCTGCAGGCGGCCAGCAGTGACCTGACTTGGCCGGTGGCAGGGGTGAGCCAGGGCCCAGCTGCATGGGGCAGCGGAGGGTGCCCCAGAGTCTCTAGGAATTAAAGCTTTTATCCAGTGATGGCGTCTCCCAGAATACGTCCAACCACAACTGGCCGTGCTGGCTCGCAGGGACGCGGGTGATGTGTCCCACTGGCGGAGCACCGGGGGACAGGCAGCCGGGATTGCTCTGCCTTGTCACTGCAGACCCCCCCGGCATATCTCCACCCCAGGGCCCAGTGACAGTGCATTTATCACTCCCTGCTCTAGGCTATTCCAATGGCTGTGTGACCGGGAGGGCACCAGGCCATGTCTCTAGCCCTCAGATCATGCTGACCTGCGAGCCTGGCTGAGGCCAGATTTAGAGGTCTCGCCCTGTGGAAAATGATCAGATTTTCTGAGGTGTAAATGTAGATCGCAGCAGAGCCCCTCCCACTTCACTGTGTCCTCACATCACCCAGGGGAGGCTAGGCCAGGCCCTTGGCCTCCTTATCCACAGGGAGATTAAATGACTTGCCCAAGGGCACACAGGAAGTCGGTAGTGCAGCAGGGACCCAAACAGGGGTCACCCAGGTGCCAAGACAATGGAACTAAGCCTGGGCCATGAGCCTCTCTGAAGCAGAAAAATCAACCAGGGAGCCTAGAACAGCAAACAGGCAGTGTCCTGCAGGGAGCCATTCTGCACTGTCCCTGCACGGGGACACAGACTGGACGAGCTGAGGGTTTTTCCATCTGGGTGTCCCTCCCACATCGACTCGGGAGGATAGGGAAATGGCAGGTAAAACTGGCAAGTCCAAGGCAAGGTGACAGGAAGCTGGATAAACCCTCACATTACAGTATTAATACACAGCATTGTAAATCACATTTGCCTGGCTCTGACCCCTCAGCCAGACACAAAAGGTGCTAGCCATCCATCTCTGGCCATCTTGTCTAAACCCCCGGCAGCCTGACCACGCTCCAGCTGCTTGTTGTTCCAGGCAGGAGCTGCTGGAACTGGTCATTTGAGTCCCAGCCAGGGTCAATGGGTCGGAGTCTGGCAAGGACTCAGTGGGGCTAGTTTAGTGGGTAAGGTGAGCAAGATTTGAGCTCGGAGGAGGATGGTGATGGGAGGCGCTGAGTCGTGAGTCAGTGTGTGGATCATCCCCCCATTGCCTTCCTGCCAAGACCAGCCTGCTGTATTTCTCCACTTGGTTGAGAGCACCCTGCAAACCTGCACTGTGTGCTGCAGACCTGCTGGGGAGGGCAGGGACTCCACAAGAGAGACAGATTTCTGCACTGAAGGTCAGATGCTTCCAGCTGATCGGCGCTGGGGTTTCTATTGTATCTGGCACTGTGGTAAGCCCTAGTCCATCCCTCTAGGCAGAACTGCTTGGGGGGCAAGGGTGTTTGGATCCAATTTCACCTTCTCTCCTCTGCTGTTTTCCTGTTGCAATTCAAAAAGTCCACAGCCAGCTAAGATTGGAAAGCGAGAGCTTGGCTAAAGCTCCCATGGGAGAGTCCCTGGGGGTGACTAATGCAGACCTCAGGAGCTCATCACAAAGGGGAGTGAGTCGAGAGAAGAGGATGGCGATCCCTATCAAGTCAGGACTCTTCATCTGGCCTAGACAGAAACTCTCACACTGAGCCCAGGCAGGACCAGGCTTTAATTTATTTTGTTTCTCTCAAATACAACTAGTGCACCTGGGTGGTTTCTCCTTTTCCTGCTCACAGCATAACTAATTCACTTCGCTTCCTTCCTGCTCTGGAGCACCATCACGGAGCCTGATTACCTGCATGCTCAGAAGCTTAAACTGTCTGCCAGTTGGCAATTTAACAAAGCAATATGTAATTTAAATAGAGAAAAGCATTAGCAAAAAGCAACAGCTTAATCGTTAATACCCAGTGTCTCCAGATCTATGGGAATGGCACCCCTTCTAGAGGAAGCCATTCCGAGGAGCAAAGGGCATGTGCTTACAGCAGATTTGCTATTAAAAGCTGTTTATAATAGACTGGAGGGAAGTTGGGAGCCTTCGTTCAAGGTAACTTTCTGACACAACCTTATAGCAGGAGCGTGTGTTATGTGAACAGGGAAAAGCAGTGTGGATTGTTATTTCAGCTCATAGCTGCTCCAGCTAAGGCAGTAGCAAACTGTATTGAGGTGTGAACAGAGACAAACTCAGAGGTGAGTTTAGTACCTACCTACCTGCTTAGCTCTTGGAAGGACTAGTAAATTATTAGCTCACACTACCATGCAGAAAGAAAAGGAGGACTTGTGGCACCTTAGAGACTAACCAATTTATTTGAGCATAAGCTTTCGTGAGCTACAGCTCACTTCATCGGATGCATACTGTGGAAACTGCAGAAGACATGCATCCGATGAAGTGAGCTGTAGCTCACGAAAGCTTATGCTCAAATAAATTGGTTAGTCTCTAAGGTGCCACAAGTCCTCCTTTTCTTTTTGCGAATACAGACTAACACGGCTGTTACTCTGAAACTACCATGCAGGTGGCTGGAATAGTCTATTTTTGGAACTGGTCAGAAGACAAGAATATGGACCCAAATATTTGTATTCCTCTTCACACAGGTGAGCTCATTGACTGGTTTGGGCTTTGCTCTGAAGATGTGGGCTGGGGAGAGGGAAAGCTAGCTGGCTTCATGAAATGTGCCCCATGAAATTTGGACCATTACAAAATTTACATTGTAATTTCTGGGTAAGTTGCTGAGGAGCAGGAGTTACCTCTTCCTGCGGAGACACAGGGGAGCTGGTATATTGGGGTGTGTGGGTGTCACTTTACATCAATCTTGGTCAGCAAGCACTAGGGTAACAGGCTTAGCTGCTTTGCGAATCAGGATCAGGGCATTCCTACTGGGAGCTGGTGGGCAGCATCACCAGCCAGGGAAGGGAGAGCAAGCTCCAGTCCTCAGTCCTTTTAAGGCTCTTTCTTTTGGGCTTGTTTTATTGTCCACACAACTCTCACTAAACAAAGCAAATCAACCAAGAAACAGCAACAATCCCTCGACTTTCCTTGCTCCAGCCAGGCAGGAGGGGACGTGGTTCTGCCTTTTTACACTGGGCCCCAAACAGCCACGTGCCAGACACCCTGTTAACCCTTTACAGACTGCAGCACTTTTACTTTGCCGATGTGTATTTATATTATTTTATTCTGCAGGTGAAAAATACCTTGGGCATGAGTAGAAGTCCATGTGAACTTTATCCTAAACTGATGGAAATCTACATTTGTGCAGCTTTTGCTCTTGTTTTCTGTTTTGCACTGGTGTTGCCAGTGGTGAAAACTTTTTGCACAATTATAGGTAAGAGGATAGAGGTAAGAGGACTTTGTCACGGAATAAATGCTCTTTACTTCTCTTCAGCTGTGGTCATCTTAGTCCCCTGGCTTGTAGAAGCTGCATTTGCAGGGAGATGGTAGACACTAGCCCCGGCGCCGGAGCAAGTGATGCTGGTCTATTGACCACAGACACATTTTGGCAGAAGGCACACGCTTGGTGACGGTTCTCTCCCTACAGGTACACCAAGATCCATCCCTGGTTTATTTTTATTTTTTACTTTCCTTCATCAAAAGCCCCGCACTGCAATGACATTCCTGCTGAACTTGGCTGCGGGAGACCTCTGCTCAGAGGAGGTTGCTTTTAGAGTGAGCTGGATTGCTGCCACCCACCCAATCAAGGTCAAACCCTTCACAACATGCCCAGGCCCCTGTTGCCTCAGGCAGATGGTGGGTGGGTGGGACACAGCTTGGACTCTGCACTCTGAACTTCTGTTGCAACAAGGTGGCATTATTGCTAGATGACAGGGTCAGGACTGCTCTGATTCTGTACACACCTTCTTCCTGCTGAGCAGGAGCGCTGTCCTCCTCCCTGGCTCCTTCCTCATGCACACTCACATTGTGACTCTCATCCTTTAATAATGCTGTGACCTTTCCTTTATCTGGTTGTCAAGGTATCAACCTGTTTGCGTGGCGTGGCAATCAGTGCAGTTTGGCCTCTGGAAGCTGTGTCAGCCTGTGGTAAGGGATTCCAAATGAATAATAATCCAAATGCTGCTAAACATTTAATCTGAATTGAAAAGCTGACAGCAGTCTGCGTGCAGCGGCTCAACCCTCTGCGCCACGGCTGGAGGAGGCAGGCCATAATTTGTCATTTTATTGAACAAGGTCTAGCAGTTACCCTGCTGGAGATGGAGCCAGTCCCAACTGGACTATGCGGGATGCTAGAATACTTCAGTTTGTGAAAACTAAGCCCCTCCTTCCTGGGCAGCTGAATGCCTACAGCAGCCAAATCTGCATTGGGTAGAGGGACGTCTTGCTGACTAGGGACAAGGTGAAGTTGCGGGTTACTAGCAATATTTACAGGCTTGATTCCAGTGAGAAGAAAGGT